ATTTGGAGGCATTGAGCCAATATCTAATCCAAGGTTTACGTGTTGCCTGCACGCACTATGGATTGGGAACAGAGTTCTTCACCAAAGGATTTAATCAGATACATAGCAAAATCACATAAATCACACTGATGTATTTACGAGAAAATCTTGGAGCAGGGTGGTGGAAAGGTCCCAGAATCCTGGGGTCACCCTACGATGCTGGTTTAATTCCCTACCCTTCCCCAAAGATTTTCTCATGGATATAGCACATTGGGATTTCGTTGTGTACAACATAATGACTTTCATATTGCACTGCACAAGTCCTTGAAGGTTGTGGAATCCATCAGACTTATCACCAGGACAGAAAAATCGCTCATTTCTAACACTGGGCTTCATGGCAAAATTAAAAAACTAAATAATGGTCTGAGTGTTGAGAACCTTATCCCTCACAAATATTTGTACAGTGATGGTAAAATGATAGTGTATGTGTACTGAAGCCACAAAGACTAAAAACATAACCCTCTTTATCACCAATAGAGGTGTGCTTCTTGTAGTCTCTCCATTTTATTTGACTTCCTTCTTATTTCTTTAAGTTCACTTGACAGCCAATGATCGCTCAATGTGTGTGTGAGTGTGTGTGTGTGAGTGTGTGTGTGTGTGTGTGTGTGTGTGTGTGTGTGTGTGTGTGTGTGTGTGTGTGTGTGTGTGTGTGTGTGTGTGATACACATCAGTTTTTCACACATGGTAGTTTATTATTATTGATATATATACAAGAGTTCTTATATTCTTGTACAGCCACTAGTACGTGTAGCGTTTCAGGCAAGTCCTTAATCCTATGGTCCCTGGCACATGACCCCCGCCAAGAATCGTTTAACAACCAGGTACCCATTTTACTGTTGAGTTAAACAGAGGCTACAGTTAAGGATTTGCCCCGACTAAATCCTCCCCGGCCAGGATACGAACCCAGGACAAAGCGCTCGTGGAACGCCAGGCGAGTGTCTTAACCACTACACCACGGGGGCTGCAAGAAGGTTAAAGTCTGTAAAAAGTTTAAATAAATTTGCTTTGTGAGTGATTTGCAGTATTTACAGTAACTTATATGCAGTGTGTATATAGTTTTTATATTTGGTAGGGAAGGGCAAGTCATGTTAATTAACTCATTTAAGTTATACCCAAATTGCGGTATGCAATAAATGGCAATATACAGATACTATATCTTAAGTAACCACCATTTTATATATCTTTATATATACAATATTTTTTTACAGGTGAAATAATGTATGATTTTATAGATTTAATCCTGTATGTTTTATAGCTTGAAAATAGTATGAATTAAAACTGTCAATGATTTCAATGCATCATTTTGTATTCTGCTTTTTAATTTTTATGGTATACAGTATTATTATCAGCATGCTTTATGCTGTACTACTATATATGTATATACTGTATTGTATTGTTAAAATAGTTTTTGGCTAGTTTGGCATTAAGGACCTAGTACATTAATTAAATTAATGCTAGGTCTTTATTGCCAAACTAGCCAAAACCCTGTGGTTTAGCAATCTGAAATCTATCTATTTCTTTCACCTGATGCTTGTACAGGATGAACAGAGGCATGAGAGAAAAAGGAAACATTCGTAACCATTTGTGTTCTGCCAGGGGAACTGAATCTTGGTCCCCCGAGCTCACATTCAAGAGACCCAGGTTCACTTCCTAGGCAGGACAGAAACTACTGGGTATGTTTCCTGTCAGCTGATGCCACTGTTCACCAGTAGGAAATGGGTGCCCAGGGTTTAGACAATTGTTGTGACCCGCATCTTGGGGGAGGTCAATAGTTGCTGTAGAAGGCAACCTCAGTAAGCTTAAGTATGAGTTTCCAGTCCCCGACAAATGGGAATGTCATAATATGGAGTAGATGTTGTTGTTAAAGATTCGCTACCAGGAACAAAGTTCCAAGTAGCACGGGCTATGGTGATCCCGTAGGAGTTTATGGAGTAGAGGTGCTGTGTCTAAGATGCATCGACCTGACATTTAATGTGCAATACAGTATGTTTGTCCAAATAAAGCTAAAAATGTTGTTGTTATTATTAATGGTTGAGACATATGATCAATTTTCGTGTTTAACAGAGGGAACAGTAGTTGTGCAAAATATTGTACTTGCCATTTGAAGAAAATATATAATAGCGTGTTTTTGGTTTGTTTTAATTTTACATTTTTCACCATTTGCTGATTTGTGACAGTAGGCTTAGGAATTTACTTAAGTCCTCCATAAGATTCTTCTTCTCGGAATTCTAAAAAATTAATGTGATTTGAGTACATAATTGAATTTAAAGATAAAATGCTGCTGCAAATAGCTGCCAATCCACTACTTCAAAATGCTGTCTAGGAGCAAGCTCTAGTATAGAATTATGGTGCACGTACGACAGTAAGGAAGTGATCATAATACAGTACTGTACAATAATGATCAACTATTTGTTAGGTCATTTCTAATTGGTGTAAATATTACCTGAATTTACAATACATCAACACAAGAAAGATTGACAACCTACTCATATTTTGGGAAATGGTAATGAACTACATAGACAAAGAACTTTGAATATATGAATTCTATAGAGCTTCGATAACGTACCACATGAAAGACTGAAACTGCAAGCACGTAGAGTAACAGCAGAATACTAGAATGAATAAAACAATTAACACAAAGTTATCCAAAATGGAAATAAAGCTGACTGAAAAATGTTGAGTGGAGTACTGTATTAAGTACAAGGCTCCATCCTTGGGTCAACCTTTTTTTTTTTGTGATATACTTGACATCAACGACACTGATGTGAAAACTACAATCCACATCATCAAGTCTGCAGAGGACACAAATATATCTATGGTAAAATAGCAAAAACAATATTGAGTCCTTGCAAAACTACCTACATCAACTCCATAAAGGGTCTGAGGACTAGCGAGTGCTCTTAATTATTGAAAAAATTAAAGACTTTGCATGAAGGGCATAACTACCATCTCAACAATACGACCCCAAAGCAAATTTGAAAAAACAAAAGGACCTAAGAATTATATTATTATTATTATATTTAACAATCGCTGAAAAAGTTGCTTAGCAAGTAGGAGCTGCTAAAACGGATCAACCAAACTGTGCATTAGAAATAATGAAAAATTATTTGACTTAAAGGGAAAGATAAATCTATGGGGTTTCACCTTTTATTTACCTTGAATGATTTTGCCACAGTCAGGGATAGGCAGCCTCTTAGACTTAACAAGGTCACCCAATGTTGGGGGGTAGAAATAGCCTAAGCTACTCTATCCCTTTGAGATGTATTTTTTCTTGTCTCAATAAACATACTTGAACTTGAACTTGGTCACCCAATGCCAACTATACTGATCTTCCCAAGGCTGCTCTACTCACAGGTACCTATTAACTGCTAGATGAACAGTTGCATCAGATGAAAGAAAACTTACACAACCGCCTTTGTCCCGACCGGAGATCAAAACCATGATCCTCAGTTGTGAGCCGAAGACATAGATCACCGTGCTACAAGATCCGTTTTCTTAGGATGGAAGGAGCCAACTGTAATTTGAGTTTACCTGAGGGCCACTAATACTAGTGGCCTCCATGAGGACAGGAAGCCGGCGGCTTGTCAAAGGTCCCCCCCCCCCCCCATTTTCCTTGCTCTTTTCCAGCTGAATTTAAAAACCCAGCAGAGTTTGGGCGTTTACGGCTTCCGCAGGTAGGCGGTTAACCAAACATGGATACCTCACCTTTATAAGGATAACCAATATGAGAAAGTTTAACTCAGTTCTGGGATGATTTTGGTCACAAAGTTAACTGTGCAGAGGTTGAGGGCCTCTCAGTATATACTAATGCTACAAACCAGATATGATGGAGTTGATCTCATCGAAGCCTTTAAAATATTGCACAAATTGGATGTTATTAATCTTATCTATAAAAGAGAATGTCTGTCTTTTCGAGGGTGGAGGCCAAGCAGTTGTGGTTTGCTTCACGAACCTTTCCATGGTGAATTATGGTTGTATGGCGAGTGTTAATGGGTGGTTGGGGGTCAATCCCCATGCTGCTAAGGGCTAGCTCCAATAGCGACAACTAACATAAGAACAAAGGTAACTGCACAAGGCCTATTGGCCCATACGAGGCAGCTCCTATTTATAACCACCCAATCCCACTCATTCAAGCGTCTAAATGTACCTTCTTGTATATAAATAAATAAATAAATAAATAAATAAATAAATAACCCACGCTTAAAACTAACGACTCCTATGAAGTCTGAAATATGGATTTGATTGTCCATAGAGTCCATAGAGAAACTAGCATGGTTTCTCTGCAAAAAAAAAAAAAAATAATAATAATTAAATGCTTTAAAAGGAGAGAAATTACTGACTCTCAACGACCTGAAAGCACCAGTATAAAGAGCTATGATTT